TTGAAGGTTACTTTGAAATACAATAGTCAGTGTCTATTTGAGTCCTCCTCTTTTATATGAAATAAAAAGCCGAATTTAAATGATCCTCCTGCAGCAAAGTAGAACAGCGTGTGGTTGGTCTGCTGACTGCAGCTGGACTGCTGACCAGACCAGTGACGTGCGGTGAGGTTCATGGCTGGTGAGGCACTGACTTCATCAGAATCTGATTTACAAATATATGCACTCTACTTAGTAATATATTTGCCATTTGATTGGCAGCAGTTTAGGGGTCATGTTTCTTATCTGCATTCTTTACACATACAAGCTGTAGCCCACAAAACGCATGTTTCTTCTTTCTTTTCTTTTTTTTTTTTTTTAAGTTATTGCAGTCTTCCCTTTACCTTTAAATGAAGTCCATGCTTCACTCCTTCTGGACAAAAATATCTGTTACTTTTTTGTAAAAGTCTCCTTATCTTCCTTCACTGCACTTGACTTGCTAACTATATACTGTACCTAGTCTAGCTTGCTGCCACTTTGCAGCCACGGAGTCACAAGAAGCATGTCTGGGATCAGAGCGCCCCCTGCCACGAGGCAAGAGAACTGCCTGCCTCACCTGAAACCTCTTCTCAGCTGTTTATGATTGCTCAGCACACGGAACACGTTACACACATACACAGTGGGTAACAAAAACAATGTACATTATTATATACATCAGCTGAACCATGGAAAATCAGTTCATATATTAAATGTGTTTGAACCATGTTATTGGCGACATCCAGACAGCAGCGCGCTGTCACTGCATGGCAGCCAGCGCAGGTAGTGAGGTATTGCGCAATCCAGGTTAGGCTGAGCTCGCTGCTGCCTCACTTGGATTGCGCAATCCCTCACTGTGCAGGCTGCCATGCTTAGGCTGTCACTGCATGGCAGCCAGCGCAGTGAGGGATTGCGCAATCTAACTGAGGCTCAGCTCGCTGCCTCACCGGCTTCTCTTCCAAGCATTTGAATGGGAAATTCCGAAAATTCAGCGAGTTTGAATTTCAAAATCATCAAAACTGATGAGGCTAAATGAAAAAATAAATACTTTATAGTACAAATCACTGGATAAATATAACTTTTTAAATTATTTTATCATATATTTTTTTTCTTTCCCTGATGGAAAGAATCGCACGTCACTGGACCAGACTGCTGCCCGCCTGTGAGCGCTCTGGGACGGGAGGAGCTCACGGCAGCACCGCTGCTCGCTGAGGACAGTAGACCGACACCTGTTTTCATGTCAGAATTTCCAAAACACCAGAACAGTCTCCAGTAACACCAGAAGGAGACGCTAGATTTGTCCCTAGCCATTTTGACAAACAAAAAAAAAAAAGTCCCCAAGTGGATTTGGAAAGTCGACAGATTTAGCGAGAAAGTCACCAAGTGGGCAACACTGTGCGTGGCAGCTGATGTCACGCACATAGACTGTATAAAAGATGGACGTAGCAACCGGCCCTGAAAAATGAAGCCATGAAGTGTCAAAAACCTACGTCCGCAAGCTGCTGGCTCCAAAAAGCCCTGGCTCCCATAGACTTGAATTGGAAAAGAAGTGATCGCAGATCACGAAATACCGCATTCCTACAGCTCAGGATTTTTTTAAAATTAGTTTTCATGGTCAAGTCCAGAGATCAGGTGGCCAATCTGAAAATAAATCAATACTGAATTTTTAAAAAATCGTCAAAATTTTGCGGGGCAAGGGGCGTGGCTGGCTTGATTGACAGTCGGCAGCGACGACACAGACGAAACGAGCAGAAGGGAGTAAATGTGGGCGGGCACAGAGGGCCCGCCTCTCAATCCGTCTGACCAATCGCTGCTCCTATGGCTCCGCCCCCCTCCGACGATTTTTACGTCCCTGGCTCCAAAAATCCAAGATGTCAACCAGGAAGTAGCAAAACCCTGGCTTCATTTTCTCAGTGCAGAAATCAACGGGTGACGTCACGGTAGCTACGTCCATCTTTTATACAGTCTGTGGTCACACATGGGTGAGTGACACCCGCCGACAGCGACAATTTGAGCGACAAAAAATTAAAAATGTTACAAAGCTATAATCTTCAAATGTAGAATTACATTTTTTAAAAGTAACGAACTACAATAAAATAAATGTTAGCTAGATACTCCTTATTTATTTTCCAAAGCCACAAGGAGCCGCAGCAGAGGTACGAAAGAGCCACATGTGGCTCCGGAGCCGCGGGTTGCCGACCCCTGTATTAGATGATGACTGTAACCAGCGCTGCTTCCCTCCCCTCCTCACCTGATGCCTCTCCTGGCATGCCTGGCCTGCCAATATTGGACAGCAGATGGTCGATGTTGGGCACAGGCTGCATGTCCCGCTTGTCCTCTGGGGCCTGCGCGCACACACACGCACGCGCGCACACACACACACACACACACATACACACACACACACACACACACACACACACACACAAATCAAAAACAAGGGAGAACTGATTACCTCTGAGTCACACAATCTCTGCATCAAGTGCGTTGTGTGTTCTTTGCACCAACAGAAGCCCAGTTGTGAACCAACATACCTTCTCTTCCTTATCAAACTCTCCATCACTGAAGAACCAGTCATGCTGGTGAAATAAGAAAACAGTGTTAGGACAGGACGTACAGCTGTGTAGTTACAGTGGTGCTGAATTTGTTTCGCTGCAGGAGCTGCTGGTTCTTACATGCAGGATAAGGGTCTCGACTATTTTGTAGCGGTCGGGCATGTGGGTCACCATGTCGGTCATGTTGTCCTCTGACGTCCTCACCAGAGTGGGACCAAACACCAGAGCTAGGTTTCTTGGCTCCATCTGTAATTATTATCAAAACTTAATTACTGTTCAAAGTTTGTGTCCTTTTGTGCGCAAATTTCTTTCCCAAATACAACTTCAATCAAGAGATAAAGGTAAAGGTGAGGTTACCTTATTCTTCTCAGAGTGATCTGCCACCTTCTTAAGGTGGCCCACCAGGAACTTGAGGGTGTGATAATAGTGATCTGGAAGGTCATGGATCTGGGGGAAAAAAAGCAAAAAAATGTCTTTTTATGTATGTATGTATGTATGTATGTATGTATGTATGTATTTGATTTCTGCTATGAAAAGTGAGCAGTCTGTCAAAAGGCAGATTAGACTTAACAGAGACAAGACTCTTTAACTCCATCATTTTTATTCACTACTATGCTCTCTGCCATATTTTGATCACATACTAGTTTCTTCATGGTCTTCAGTCTGTCCTCTGCATCTTCTATCCGGTTGGCATCAATGAAGTCATTGTATTTGTCTGTAGGCAGAAATGGTGCATAAACAGCAAAATACAAGGAATATTTCAAAACAATGTCAATGGTAGTTTCCATATGCAATCAACATTCAGTGTGTTTAGCTAACAAGGTGATTTTTAAAGAAAAATTTTTATGTAATCTTTTCATTTTTTACATGTAAAAAAAAAATATGTTGGCAGCATTCGTATATAGTCACATTTAATTTTTCAGATATTTTTATAGTACACAATACACACATGTATTATTCATGCCAAAATTAACAATGTAAATGTGTGAACCCACCATCAGTAAACAGCGGCTCAGGCAGTTTTCGGAAAAATGATTTAAGCAGGCTGCTGATTACATTCAGGTCCTGCCATCTCTGTGGAGACAGAAGGGGATGAATTATTGAAAATTACCTCATCTATCAAAATGTGATACGTTTGAAGAGGCATTACAAAACAGAGTTCACAAGACAACTGGTGCTCTTAAAATAGTGGGTAAGGTGTGACTCCTCCACACCTCCTCAGCAGTGTTAATGTCCATGCCCTTGTTGAGATGCTCCTGCAGGTTGGATACCATGGCGTTGTTCCCTGGTACACGATAGATACCGGTATACTCTAGACCCATTGTCTCCACAACACCACAGCACATCTCCACTATCAGAGGTACAAACTGTGAAGACAGAATGAGGGAAAACAGAGAAGAGAGAAGGTGGAGTCAAACTTAGGAAGCTATATTGTTATTCTAACAAAATGTGCAAAACAAGTGTACTTGGTATAATTTCCATGGACTGCTTTGTTAGCATTTGTTTATCGTTGTCATGCTCTGTGCAAAGCTGAATGTCGCAGCATAAAGAGGTGCTCCAACTTAATACAAACCTGATTAATTGAACTAAACTAGATGACTGTTCTCACTGAATTCCAGCAATTAAAATTACTTTTTCCAGACAGGCCCTTCACATAGGGGATATCAGCTGAGTTACATGTAGTATTTATTGATAAACTAGAAAAGCTTTCTTATTACTGCTCAGAAGTCTAACTAATGTTTGAGTTGGGGGATAAACAAAATATATTATACTAAAATTATGTTGCAACATTTTACCAACTCGGTCATCCTTCATGTTATCCTTTTCATGTCAGGACAATGATGATAATTGAGAAGGAACCCTACATTTTTATTTTCTATTTAGACATACAGTTGAAACCAGGAGTTTACATACACCGTATAAAAAGATATATAACCGTTTTTTCTCACTGTCTGACCAGACTAAACTTTTCCTGTTTTAGGTCAGGTAGGATTACCAAAATTATTTCTATTTGCTAAATGACAGAATAATGAAAGGGATTGTTTTTTATACACACGTGGACAAAATTGTTGGTACCCCTCGGTTAATGAAAGATAAACCCACAACCGTCACAGAAATAACTTGAATCTGACACAAGTAATAATAAATAAAAATTCTACGAAAATTAACCAATGAAAATCAGACATTGCTTTTGAACTGTGGTTCAACAGAATTATTAAAAAAAAATAAACTCATGAAACAGGCCTGGACAAAAATGATAGTCCCTAGAAAAGACTGAAAATAATGTGACCATAGTGACATGTTCAATCAAGGTGTGTCCTCTAATTAGCATCACAGGTGTCTACAAATTTGTAATCAGTCAGTTGGCCTATTTATAGGGTTACAAGTAGTCACTGTGCTGTTTGGTGACATGGTGTGTACCACACTAAACATGGACCAGATGAAGTGAAGGAGAGAGTTGTCTCAGGAGATTAGAAAGAAAATTATAGACAAGCATGTTAAAGGTAAAGGCTATAAGACCATCTCCAAGCAGCTTGATGTTCCTGTGACTACAGTTGCACATGTTATTCAGAAATTGAAGATCCATGGGACTGTAGCCAACCTCCCTGGACGTGGCCACAGGAGGGAAAATTGGTGAGAAATTGAAGAGACAGATAATACGAATGGTAACAAAAAGCCCGGAACAACCTCTAAAGATATTAAAGGTGAACTCCAAGGTCAAGGTACATCAGTGTTAGGTGGCACCGTCCGTTGTTCTTTGAGCCAAAGTGGACTTCATGGGAGACGACCAAGTAGGACACCATTGTTGAAAACAAATCATAAAAAATCCAGACTGGAATTTGCCAAACTGCATGTTGACAAGCCACAAAACTTTTTGGCAAGGCACAACAGCTCTATGTTCACAGATGCAAAAATAAAGCATATCAAGAAAAGAACACTGTCCCTACTGTGGAACATGGAGGAGACTCTGTTATGTTCTGGGGCTGCTTTGCTGCATCTGGCTCAGGGCGTCTTGAATCTGTGCAGGGTACAATGAAATCCCAAGACTATCAAGGTATTCTAGAGAGAAATGTGCTGCCCAGTGTCAGAAAGCTTGGTCTCAGTCGCAACTCATGGGTCCTGCAACAGGATAATGACCCAAAACACACAGCTAAAAACACCCAAGAATGGCTAAGAGGACAACATTAGACTATTCTGAAGTGGACTTCTTTGAGCTCTGATCTAAATCCTATTGAACATCTGTGGAAGGAGCTGAAACATGCCATCTGGAGAAGGCACCCTTCAAACCTGAGACAGCTGGAGCAGTCTGCTCATGAGGAGTGGGCCAAAATACCTGCTGAGAGGTGCAGAAGTCTCATTGACAGTTACAGAAATCGTTTGATTGCAGTGATTGCCTCAAAAGGTTGTGCAACAAAATATTAAGTTAAGGGTACCATCATTTTTGTCCAGGCCTGTTTCATGAGTTTATTTTTTTTAAATAATTCTGTTCAACCACGGTTCAAAAGCAATGTCTGATTTTCATTGGTTAATTTTCATAGAATTTTTATTTATTATTACTTTTGTCAGATTCAAGTTATTTCTGTGACCATTGTGGGTTTTTCTTTCATTAACCGAGGGGTACCAACAATTTTGTCCACGTGTGTAGCTTTCTTCAAAGTCAGAAGTTTACATACACTAAGATTACTATGCCTTCAAGCTATTTGGGAAAGCCCAGGTGATGATGTAATGGTTTTGGAAGCTGACAACATCTGAGTTAACTGGAGACACCTGTGGATGTATTTTAAGGCACACCTCAAACACACTGCTTCCTTTTGTGACAACATGGAAAATCTAAAGAAATCAGCCAAGATATCAGGAAGAGAACTGTGGAACTCCACAAGTCTGGTTTATCCTTGGGTACAATTTCCAGATGCCTGAAGGTTCCACGTTCATCTGTTCAAGCAATTATACACAAGTATAAACACGATGGGAATGTCCAGCCATCATAGTGCTCAGGAAAGAGACATCACTCCAAAAGCAACAATAAAAAAAGCCAGATTACAGTTTGCAAATGCACACAGATACAAAGACCTTCATTTTTGGAGACATGTCCTGTGGTCTGATGAAACTAAAACTGAACTGTTTGGCTTTAATGACCATTGTTACATCTGGAGGAAAAAGGGGGACGCTTGCAAGCCTGAGAACACCATACCAACTGTGAAGTACGGGGGTGGCAGCATCATGTTGTGGGGGTGTTTTGCTGCAAGAGGGACTGGTGCACTTCACACAATAGATGGCATCATGAGAAAAGAATAATACGTGGAAATATTGAAGCAACATCTCAAGACATCAGCCAGTAAGTTAAAGATTGGGCACTAGTGGGTCTTCAAATGGACAATGACCCTAAACATACCGCCAGATTAGTTACAAAGAGGCTTCAGGACAACAAAGTCAGGGTTTTGTAGTGGCCATCACAAAGTCCTGGTCTCAATCCTGTAGGAGATTTGAGGGCAGAGTTGAAAAGACATGTGGAGCAAGGCGGCCAACAAACCTGACTCAGCTCCACCAGTTCTGTCTGGAAGAATGGGCCCAAATTCATCAAACTATTGTGAGAAGCTTGTGGAAGGAAACCCAAAACCTTTGACCCAAGTCATACAGTTTAAAGGTAATGCTACCAAATACGAAGGAAATGCATGTAAACTTCTGACTTTGAAGAAAGTAATAAAACATTCTCTAAAACATTCCTTCTCTCATTATTCTGGCATTTAGCAAATAGATGTAATTTTGGTAATCCTGACTGACCTAGAACAGGAAAAATTTAGTCTGATAGATAGTGAGAAAAAAAAGGTTATATGTCTTGTCTTTATGTCTTCATGGACAGCAATAACCATAAACCACTGCTAAGTGAAAATGAGTAAATTCAAAGCTCTGTTCCACTTCTTTAATTTCCTCATTTCACTGTGTAGCCAGTCTTGTCAGTTTCTCTACAGTCAGGTCTCTGTTCTGAATCTTCTTGTTCATTTCTAGCTTACTTTATGGTTGACAGCAGGCTGACAGTCCTCTAGTCGCACACCAAAAGCCTTCGGACTGCCTGTCTTCTTGGCTTTCTTCATGATGTTGATGCCCCAGACTGCCTTGTTGTCATCTGACACACACACACACACACACACACACACACACACAGACTCTTGATTAATGGCCATGTGGCAGATCATCCAGCAATGTGACTGTGATTACTTTCTGCTTATTGGTAAACACAGAACAGAACCGTGTTGAGACTCACCAGATCTGGAGGCTCGGCTCACTGAGGTGTTGTCAGTCTTAGCCAGGAGGAAGGGAGGCATCATACGATGAGCTTTGGGGGAGGAGTCCGGCTTGTTACCTGTCAGACTGCACAAAGGGAGAGACAAACCTCAAATAAGATGTGATTAGAGGTTGTTTTTTGAAGATGAGAAAGAGAGAGGACTGCCTTGTTATTCTTGGTTTTTGGATACTGCAGTTCACATTATTGTTTCTGACAAGCTTCTAGCCAAGAGCTACAGTGACTCGTAATTACACAAAGACTCAGGGACAGACTTCCTTCTAAATATAATCCACCATTCTGACCTGTGTTTTCTGTAGTCGTTCAGCTTCTTGTTGATGAGAGCTTGTTTTGAAAAACCAATGTCCTAAAATAAATGGAAAACACCAATTAGCTCATTATGTGTGTTTGCGTAAATGGTACACGATGAGCTAGGTATTGATCTGACCTCATTGTCTGTCTTGCTGTTCTCCCTGATGACCCTAATCCAGGCCAACATGTCATCCCTGTCTTCGGCCTGCAGCAGATACTCGCAGAAGTCCTGCGTGGTCAGCCTCAGGGTGTGCTTCCGCTTGGTTTCACTGTAGGCGATGTCGATGAGGCAGCCGCGGATGCTGATCGGGGGATGCTCATCCTGGCTGGGTCCCGCCCCCGCTCCATGAAGCACAGCCTCTCGCTTGTCCTTGTAGAGGAACAGCGAGTGGGAGCGGAGCACTGAGAAGGCGCGCTTCCACGGTCGCATGCCGCCACCAATTTTCTACATTGAGAAAAGACAGAGACAGGGAGGTAACCTTAAAATGAAAACACATCAGGATTTAGTACCCGTAACTAGCCATGACACACCTGTTCAAGCTCATAACATGGAGTCTGTTGTTTTCACCTTTCCAGGCAACATTGGAAAGACTGGATGAAGCAGTGCAGCTGCTGTAACAACCACAGCTGCTGGGCTTCCCAATGGCAGGCAGCAGCTTGCATGGCAGCTCTGTTGCCATTGGTGTATGAATGTGTGTGTGAATGGGTGAATGAGAAACACACTGTAAAGCGCTTTAAGTACCACGAAGGTAGAAAGGCGTTATATAGGTGCCTGACTGATTAGCTACATTGAGTAGGGGGTGGCTGGGGCTATCTAGCAATTTGCCGTGAGATACAAAATGTGAAAGATTCTAAATACTTTCTAAATACACTGTATGCTTTGTTGGGTTCTGATTTTGCAAGATGTTGGTGACTAAGTTTGCCACCAGCTCATGAAGCTACTGATAGCTAGCTAGTGTTACCCTGCTGCAGATGATGAAAACTACAAAGTCTGCAAGTAACAGTGATCATTTTTAGTGGCAGTCGACAGTTGCCAGCTAGAAATGAGAAACTTCCTTTTATCTAATTTTATCTGAAGTCAAGGGCCCACTGTTTAATAATGACTACCGGTGGTAAACATTATGCCACACTGTACAAAGGTTCTGGTCTCTTCAGATTCTTATCCATCAGGGAGGCATCTGATTCGTCTGCTACCTTTTCTGACACTAACATGCCCGACATTGCACTAGTTCAGAGAAAACAAGTTCAATTAAATTCCTTTTACAATCCATGTGGTAAAGCTGTGTTTGGTGTAGACATCAGAAATGTTTTCAGTGCCTCAGAATTTCAGGATAGAGGCTGATTCATGATTTGCATTCACATAATGATGCACCGTCGAATAATCCAGATTGTTAGTGTAAACGACTGCCTTATGTCCTGCAGTCCTCAGTTTAATTAACCTCATCTTTTTAGAATATTTTTTTTAATCAATATTAAGATCAAGGAGCCTTGAAACTGACAAATTCAGAAACACAAGCAGTGCGTTGTACCTTTCCCTTTTCTGTGAGGATCTGTTTGTAGTGCAGCCAGCCCTCCTTGTGTACATCACTGAAGGTGATGGTTCCCAGCTCCGAGGTGGAGTGGCGCTTAGTCCGGGCCTCCTCCTGGGCTCGCAGGCTCTCCAGCGACTGAAACACAATGTGGGGATATTAGGGACTCACGCTGCACAGTGTTTATTTGCTTTATGGAAATAAACAGTACATGTTGTCAGGTCTAGTAACTAGAATGTCTAACAGCGACTCACCCCATCAGTGAAAAAGCTCTTGACCCTTTTTGGTAGTTTGCTGCGGAAAAGACAGACATAGGTTACAAAGAGGCAAAATTTTGGATAAAACTGTCCATCCATCCATCCATCCATCCATCCATTATCTATACAACGCTTAATCCTCATTAGGGTCGTGGGGGGGCTGGAGCCTATCCCAGCTGACTCAGGGTGAAGGCAGGGGACACCCTGGACTGGCAACCAGTCACAGGTTTACACTTAGAGACAGACAACCAAGCACATTCACACCTATGGACAATTTAGAATTACCAATTAGCATCAACATGTTTTTGGACTGTGGGAGGAAGCCAGAGTACCCAGAGAAAACCCACACTGCACGGAGAGAACATGCAAACTCAACTGGGACGCGAACCAGCAACCTTGCTTGCAGGGCAACGGTGCTAACCGCTGAGTCACTGTGCAGTCCTGGATAAAACTAGTGAGTGAAAAAATTATGCCTTGTCCCACGAATTAATCTGGGAATCTCTGTATGAGTGTGTTCTTTCCATACATCCAGTTCTCTTCAAACTTAGCAGATGTGTAGATGGGAAGTCAAGGAGTTGTAGTGTTACATTTGAAGCTGGAGAGTGGTGGCTGGTTTTGGGGGTCTTTTGGAGTCCTCAGCAGGTGTTTAGCTACCTCCGAACAGAGCCTAAGTCGGTGTATTTTGAGCACCCAAGGCAGCGCAGTGTTGAGTTTCAAGCAGAATGGCCATTTTGGATGTTCGTTTGGTGTTCTCAGCCTGGTCTTTATCAAAGGCATGATTCTAGAGGTGTGCCTGTCTGTAACACAACATACTTTAAACACTGACATCAGGTACTGCACTTGGTATTATTAAGTATTCTTCAATCATACTAATAAATGAATGTGTGTGTGTGTGTGTGTGTGTGTGTGTGTGTTGTTCCCTTTTCTTTGCACATCTTGACAACAGATCACACATCAGATCGACTTCACACTTTGCAAGAGTATAGCCGAGCAAGAGCAGGGTTGAGTTTGAACCCAATGATCCTGTTCCTAGGGTCGTTCTGAGGTCCATAGTGGGCCTTTAGCTGCCTGTGGACAGAACCTTTGTTTGCCCATGTTGCTTAGCAACATCATCAAAGGCCATGTCATATTTTCATAAGTGTCATACAGACATTGACAGAACTAGTTACAAGTATATTAAAACTATAATATGAAGCTTTTCTCTTTTCTTTAAATGAAATTAGAGTCATTAAATGGTTCTTTCCATCGATGGTAAATGCTTGTCTTTTGATATTTGCAGTGTTTTAATTAATGTCTGTTGTGTTTTGTGGTACCTATGGCACAAGATACTTGTAAACTTTCTGGGACTATATGGATGCATTTTGGTAAAGGGTCCCCTGAGTTCCTGACTTACGAGAAGACGCGACCTTCTTCCCTGAATGTGTTGAGCCCCTCATCACAGGACTTAGATCTCTCAGTGGTGATAGCCAGCAAGTAAGAGGAGCGACGACCCTTAATACTGCCTGAAGAAACAAACAGTGAGTCAGCAAGGAACAGAGGAAGAGAAAGACAGAGAGGCGAAAACTAAAAATGTTCTGAATGCTGGAGACACATGGATGAGTCAGGAGGTGATTTTTTGTTGACTGATTAATATGACAGGCAGACAGATGAATTAATGGGTTATACATATACACTGCACAGAAAAGGAATACCTTGACATTTGGATATTTAGTATGCCGACCTTGCACAGGGCATGGTGGGCTAAAAGTGTGTTTTGGATGTTGCTAAGAAAGAATGTGTCACTATGAGAACAATTTTTATCATTATAGTTTAATTCATGTAATATTAATAGCAAATAATGAGGCACATGTGACTCATGGAGCATTTAAGAGAGAAATTTCTAATATCAGGTGTTAGGTTTATGATGCAGTCTACAATGCAAACAAAAGTAAGACTTGGATTTTCAGAAATATAATAATGCATTCACATGAAGTCAATTCACTGCAAGAAAGCAATGTTTGCTCTTTTCCCCAACAACAAAGCATTTTAAAGTTCCTCCTCTCTGATTTCAATCACTGACTGGCTTTTTTCTGCAAAGGCAACAGTAGCTGAGGCTCATGAGTATTGTGATGTTTAGAGCCATCTGCTATAACAAACCCAAGGACATAAACTAAAAAATAAATCAAATAAAATAAAAACCTGTTTCCTGTACTATTGCCCACTGCTCCAAGTGTCTCCTTCAGTGAAACTACGTCGCAAAAATATCAGAAATACTAGAACTGTCAACAGCTGTTTTGTTGTAAATGTCACTGTAGTCCTTTCACATGCGTCTAAGGCTAGGGCTGGACTAATATATCAGTTTTCCAACAAAAAGGCATAACTGCTTGTTATTTTTAATCAAACCAGTGGTGTTTGGCACTGCTAATTCAAACATACTGGAGAACATACTGTATATTGGTCTAGCATTTAGTAAAGCCTTTCAGTATTTAGAGTGGTAGTGAGACTCACTGCAGTCCTGAGAACGAAGTTGAACAAAGGGGGAGATGGAGGAGAGGGTGGGGGAGACAAAGGTGGAAGTGAGAGTGGCCATAGTGGAGGCCTGGGAGCTGGACACCACACAGCAGGCTGGTACATAGCAGGCCTGATGGTCAGTATTAGGACCGGTAGGTTCATCTGCAAGGCCATCATCACAGGTGAGCAACAAGGGGTGAGAGACGAGGGAAAAAACACTGACAACACAACACAGGCTCAGCTTCCTCAGGTGGGGTTTGATTGTTGAGGCCGAGCTACTTCAGAGGCAGAAATAATCTCTGATGGAGAACTTCAGTCTTCCCCAAGGAATAATATCTGTCTGACTAACCTGAAAGGCAAACAGGTCGCCTCTAACAGAACTATGTAGATTGAATTTCCACATCCAGCAGGCATATCCATAAAGTGGAACTTGTGTAATTAAATCATGTTTTATAACTTATATACTTAAGGAGTACAAAAATATAATGTAATATAATAAACCCCAATATGTTTCATAGTTTAGATTCCTCAGAGGAGTTAGCGTTTGCCTCGATAGCAGCATTCCACACTATTCTCAACATCTTAATCAGCTTCATCAGGTCATCACCTTGAATGGTTTTCAGGAGATGAGTCTTTTCAAAAGTTAACCTTCTTAATGTAAATAACTACCAGTTGTGCTGTGTTAAGGTGGTGTTGCTAGACAGCAAACTCCCCTATTAAACTACTACAGTAACTCATATTACAGCAAGAATTGCTCAACTAAGTAAAGACAAACAAGAGTGCAACATAACTTTTAGACCTTCCTCTTGTTACATTTCCATGTTTTTTAATACACTGCTCAAAAAAATAAAGGGAACACCTCAACAACACAATGTAACTCCAAGTCAATCACACTTCTGTGAAATCAACCTGTCCAGTTAGGAAGCAACACTGATGGTGAATCAATTTCACCTGCTGTTGTGCAAATGGAACAGACAACAGGTGGAACTGAGAGGCAATTAGCAAGACAACCTCTATAAAGGAGTGGTTCTGCAGGTGGTGACCACAGACCATGTCTCTGTTCTCATCCTTTCTGGCTGATGTTTTGGTCACTTTTGCATTTTGTCAGTGCTCTCACCCCTAGAGGTAGCATGAGGCGGTGTCCACAACCCACAGAAGCTGCTCAGGTAGTGCAACTCATCCAGGATGGTGCAGCTCATCCAGGATGGCACATCAATGCAAGCTGTGGCAAGAAGGTTTGCTGTGTCTCTCAGCATAGTTTCCAGAGCATGGAGGAGATACCAGGAGACAGGCCAGTTAACCAGGAGATGTGGAGGAGGCCGTAGGAGGGCAACAACCCAGCAGCAGGACCACTACCTCCTCCTTTGTGCAAGGAGGAACAGGAGGAGCACTGTCAGAGCCCTGCACAATGACCTCCAACAGGGCACTAATATGCATGTTTCTGCTCAAACTGTCAGAAACAGAAACAGACAGTGTGGTATGAGGGCCCGACGTCCACAAGTGGGGCTTGTTCTTATAGCCCAACACTGTGCAGGGCGATTGGCATTTGCCAGAGAACACCAAGATTGGCAGACTGGACATTGGTGCCCTGTGCCCTTTATGGATGAGAGCAGGTTCACACTGAGCACATGTGATCTGACAGAGTCTGGAGAAGCGGTGGGTCAGTAATGGTGTGGGAAGGCATTTCTTTGGAGGGCCGCACAGCCCTCCATAGGCTAGCCAGAGGTACCCTGACTGCCATTAGGTACCGGGATGAGATCCTCAGAGTCATTGTGAGACCATATGTTGGTGCAGTGGACCCTGGGTTCCTTATGTTGCATGACAATACCAGGCCTCATGTGGCTGAAGTGTGTCAGCAGTTCCTGCATGATGAAGGCATTGATGCTATAGACTGGCCTGCCTGATCCCCAGACCGGAATCCAATTTAGCACATCTGGGACATCATGTCTCGTTCCATCCACCAATGCCATGTTGCACCACAGACTGTCCAGGAGTTGATGATGCTTCAACCCAGGTCTGGGAGGAGATCCCTCAGGAGACCATCCGCCGCCTTATCAGGAGCATGCCCAGGCGTAGTAGGGAGGTCATACAGGCACGTGGAGGCCACACACGCTACTGAACCTCATCTTGACTGTTCTTGAGGAATTTCCACTGAAGGTGGATCAGCCTGTAATGTGATTTTCCACTTTTATTTTGAGTATGATTCCAAATCCAGACTTCCATGGGATATTAATTTTGATTTACATTGATCATTTTATGTTTTGTTCTCAACACATTCCACTATGTAATGAATAAAGTTTTCAACTGGAATATTTCATTCATTGAGATCTAGGATGTGTTATTTTACTGTTCCCTTTATTTTTGTTGAGCAGTGTCCATACTAGAACACACTTCATGAGTGAACTCAGCAGCCTGAGCTTCCTGTATCATTATTCCTCCTCTCCATTTCCACCATCCATCCATCCATCCATTATCTATACACTGCTTAATCCTCACTAGGGTCGCAGAGGGCCTGGAGCCTATCCCAGCCGACTTAGGGCGAAGGCAGGGGACACCCTGGACAGGTCGCCAGTCTATCGCAGGGCTACACTTAGAGACAGACAACCAAGCACACTCACATTCACACCTACGGACAATTTAGAATCACCAATTAACCTCAACATGTTTTTGGACTGTGGGAGGAAGCCGGAGAACCCGGAGAGAACCCACGCTGCACGGGGAGAACATGCAAACTCCAGGCAGAAAGATCCCAGTGCCCCCACCGGGACGCGAACCGGCGAGGCAACAGTGCTAACCAACTGCGCCACCTTGCAGCCCTCATTTCAAACATGTATGGCTGAATTGCTTTAGTAGTACAATTAGCCACTGTGTGGCACAAAGTAGTTTCACAGTGTTTAAGCAGAGCCATAGTGAGCTGGTGTGCTTGTGCTGCAGTGAGTAGCAGAGGGGTGTATGGAGAGAGAGCCAGGACTTCACTGATCCACACATTCTAAAGTAGTGTAGAGTTGCATCAAAACCATTTGAGGGCTTAAATGATTATTTACATGGATAAAACCTGCTCTACACATGTAACTTTGATACAGAGAGATGAGTTTTTAGTTTAATCAACAGCTGAGGAAGGACCTTAAACATGGAGGCCAGTCTGAATGTAAATAGTGTGCAAAACTGTTTTCAGAACAAAGGTTGCTACTTTGAGGAATCTAAAAATTTAAACATAGTTTGCTTTGTTTACATCTTTTTGCTTACAACATATTTCCACGTGTCATTTTCAGATTTCTAATGTCTTCAGTTTTGTTCTACACTTGAATTAAGTCAAGCTAAACTAGCCAGTGTTGATAACAGTATCATATTTGCTGTTTGAAGAAAAAGATTCCTTCTCTCATAAATGACAGTTAGCTACGACTTCACCTGGTGACTGAACCTATTTCTGCCTCCAGAGCAGTTCAGTTTCTGAGAACAGCTTTAAGAACTAAAACTCCCTCTGTATGTGCTTATTTGCAGTATACAAACACTATACATGTCAAGGTTCGAAATCATACAACAATATTTAGTATTCAGCACCTTTAAGTGTAAGTACATAAAGCCAAATTTAGTGAGAGGAAACGTATTCTGTGGATATGTATATGACAAACACAAAGAGGAATAAACAGACACAAAGATGTTTGAAAAAATGGCGGCACATAGAAAAGGTGTTTCTATGGGATCACATATTAAGTGAAATAGTAAACGTCTATAGCAACAGACAATACTATAATGTTTCCAAAACAATTCAAAAACTGCATTCTATTTACTGAAAATGACAGAAAATTAAAGCATCAAACTGACAGTTTTGTAATTCCATCTACAAACATCATAATAACTAATTAACGTAAAAAGGACATAATATGTAATGTCTTACTGCTGTATGTGAGTTGCTATAGAAAAGGTCACTAACCTATGAAGGGAATAGAGGACAGGGAGTCCAGTGCATGCTGTGCCAGGCTACCATTGGCCCTGCGGCTGGGGCCGGACCCCACGGCGACGGGGGAGGGTGTCGAACCAGGCAGCTCTGGTGACTCCACAGGTGTGCTGTAGTGTGGATGTCGCAGACTCTGAATGGGGGTTCGTCGGCCTGCTGCTGGCTTCTGCCTGAGGACCACCTCCTGATTCAAGGATACAGGGGAGATGATCTCTCTGTCTTCCCCAAGCCGGACTCTCTCCTCCTCTGCTGTGGACAGAGCTGGTGTGGACTGGGGCCGGGGCACCAACACCACATCATTGTCCACTGGGCTGCTTCTGCTGCCAAGGCTCCAGTTGAGGTGAGGACCGCTGTAGCTGGGTTCTCTGAAGGAGTGGGCTTGCTGAAGGAGGTGGCCAGCTTTGCGGGAAAAAGAGGGGCTATAGCTTTTGTAGCCCACCAGCTCTTCCTCTTTTAGTCGCCGTGTCTGGGGCTCAGCTACCTGCTGACCTGGCTGCCTGCCACTGGGAGGCACTGTGGTGGAGGCTGGGATGGAGGATGTCACTGTGGTTTGGTGCTGTTGTCCTGCTGAGGCTTTCTGGTCTTTTTGCTCACTGTACTTTGTTGTTTGGGAGCTTTGTGAAGTGTGTTCGTAGCGTGGCGAGACCAGAGCAGAGGCCTGTGCCAGTGTTTCCACAGAACGACCGTAGTTGTGCTCATACTCGGCGTAGGCTGCCAGCAGACTTTCTGAGCACGACCTGCTTCCTGGTCCTGACACACCACCCCAGCCCCCGAGCCAATAAGAATCATGGGAAGCAGCTGCTGCCTGGTGGTGGTACAGGAGGGCTTCTCTCCTGTGTTGCTCTGCAGAAGTGGTAGAAACAGCTGTGGGTCCAGGACCCAGTGCCAAGCCCAACTCTGCTAAATGATCCTGAGATATGCTGCGATGACGGGGGGACATGCGCTCTGCAGCCTCAGTCTGGCTGTAGTACCAGTCTGACAGAGCCTGCTGGCAGAGGGCATCAGTGTGGGCACGTGCAGAAGCTGGCAGGCTGCTCTTCCGTGGCAGAGTTGCAGAGGTGATGGCAGCATTGTGGTTAGCAAAGTGAAAGTCAAGTGCGCTGATGGCTGACGAGGATCGCCCACGGTACCGCCCCGATGGAGCAAAGTGGCCACTGGTATCCTCGTAACCTCCAGACCAGCCAGAGGCGGGAGTAGAAGCAGCAGGAGGGCTGTTATCCAGTGGCAAGGTTGTGGTGCTGGGCCGACACTGCCAGTTATCCAGGGGGCTGTGAGGGCTGTGGAGGTTGTGGCTCGGCTGCGGGGCAGTGGAGCTGGGCTTGGTAGAGGTGTAACAGAGAGGCGGTGGCACAGGGAGGCTTTGGGCCTCACCTGTGTATGGCTCATTGCCTTTCAGGTAGGCATCATGGGAGTATGCCTAAAGACAGAAGGAGGGAGGACACAAAGTCAAATATACACACAGAATGAAGAACCAAGATGGAAGGAACAGCTTAGAGGGCAGATTGAGGTAGATGCAGCATGCACCATGCAGCAATATTTCTTTCTCTCTGTCCTTTAAAAGCTAAATTCTGATGGCAAACTGGCACTTTATTTCCCTTAATATCTTCAGAGCAATTCATTGCTTCACTGCAATTGTATTCTTAGTTTATTAGGGTTTTTCCATAAAGGAAAATACATTTTTAGCAGAAGTTTAAACCTGCCCTGTTTATTCTCTTCTGCCGTGCCCCATCCTACCTCCCCCTTCTTCTGCCTCTCTCCTCTTTCTTTCAGGTGGGGTCTCTCTGCTTGGGAGCTGCTGCCGAACCACACCACAGCCACCTACCCTACTTCTCAGCAGCATCACACTTACATTCTCCATTAATAGCCAATGTGCATCTCCTTGATGGTATAGTCCTTGTTGATGAAACTTCTTTTATACTTATTTATATTTATTTCCTTGCTTTTCTCTTGAGCATTATGAACATTTCTATGTTTAATTGGCCCTATACAAATACATTTGCCAATCAAAATGTGCTGGCTGAAATGTTATTCCTCAAGTTGCTTCAGTTTAGCATTGTACATGGAAAACAAAATGAAAAGTTCCACAGGTGCCAACCTGGCACAAGCAAGGGATGACTGCAACTCTTGCATGGCATGTTCATACAACTAATAACTGGAGCAACATTACATCATCCCTTACATGTGTCAATGTTATTTGTCACGATCTTTAAAAAAATATTGCCATATGCTTAGATTATATGGCAGGTACAAATTCAAGGGGTGATGCACTTTCTTTGAACACCACGGAATGCCAGATTTTGATACACAGTGCTTGTTAGCAGATACATGTGTTGATGCTTTGCTTTATGGGATTTACAGGACCCTTACCAAGTCTGCCCAATCAATAAAATCATTTTTGTGGGACATATGGGGTAGCAGACGTGTGGCGATGCAAGAGCATATTCGTTTTATTATGCTGTTCATATGATATATTCCCGAATTGATTGTTTTTTCAAGGACAACAGAATTTTGCATCTTGTGAAGGAATGCGACGATGGAGCCACTATCATTTCTCTGGGCATGAAAATATTCATACCTGATATACAATCAGTATTTCGCCCCTGGCGATTTAACCCTTTGCTTCTTTCAGATGAGAATTTTGTTAAATTTATCAATACAGAAATTATATTTTTTCTTGAGACTAACCAAACCCCAGGTATGTCATTTTGTACTATCTGGGAATCTCTGAAAGCTTACCTCAAATACTTTCTTAATGCATTCACAAAAAGAGGAAAAACTCGGAACGGCTACGACAGCTGAACGAAGCTATCTTATCACTCGATAGGGAATTTTGTCGTGCTCCTTCACCAGAACTAGCTAAGAAACACGTTTCATTGCAAACTGAATATAATACTTAATCTACTCAGCAGGCTGAATATCCGATCTTCAAGTCAACATGTGGGTACTATGAACATGGGGAGAAGGTAAGACATCTGCTCGCACACCAGCTATGTCAGAGGCCTGCTTATCAAACTCATCCATCCATCTCTTATCTATACACCGCTTAATCCTCACTAGGGTCGCGGGGGGGTATGCTGCACGGGGAAATCGTGCAGACTCCACGCAGAGGATGCGAACCAGCAACCGTCTTGCTGCGAGGCAGCAGTGCTAACCAACTGCACCACCTTGCAGCCCACTTAGCAAACCATTCCAGCAATTAATAACGATGAAGGCTTGAAATGTTCGAATAATGGAGAAATCAATCCTGTTTTGGGAAGTTTTACCAGCCACTGTACTCCTCTGATTCTGCAGCGAATGCTTCAGATTTTGAAAACTTTTTCAAAGATCTTAATCTCCCTGTAGTTAACTCTGATCTGGTCACCGACTTGAAGAGGGACATAGCAGCAGCTGAGATAGGCTTGGCAATAAGGGACATGCAGAGCGGCAAGTCTCTGGGGCCAGATGGATTTCCCGTTGATTTTTTAAAGACATTTTCCGATTTGCTCTCTCCAATATTGCTGTCAGTCTTCATGGAATCCTTAAATACGTCACTACTTCCATTGTCCATACGTCAAGCTGTTATCACTTTGTTACTCAAAAAGGATAAAAATCCCCTAAATTGCAACTCCTATCGACCAGTGTCACTTTTAAATAAATGAAAATTCCTTTTGCTCCATGCTGATTGATTATGCAGTCCGTTCTGCCCATGCACAATTAAAAGCTATATGTTAGCAACTGGCTGAATTAATTATAATAAAATACATAATACCTGCTGTTACACAGGCCAACTAGCTACAGGAACTGATGGCTTAACATGTTTAGAGGGCAAAAAGAAGGAAAGAAGAGAAAACAGAAGAAAGATCATACTCACACTTACCAACTGCAACACATCTTCATCTTTTGGCATAATAGAGAGTTCTAGAATGTTTTCACTAGAAGAAAAAAAAACACATAATTACTGCCAGAGCAATACTAGAGTAATACTGTCAGATGTGGACATTAAATGAGATTTCAGCCTTAAAACAACAGTTTCCCACCTGTTTTGGATGAGGGCGATCACCTGAGAGTAGGTTTTTCCCAGAATGCTCTCCCCATTCACCTTTACCAGTCTGTCCCCTGGAGTACACAAACACACACATTCAGATGATTGGTGAAATGTATGCTGAATGCAAGTGGATGTAGGATATGAACAGACACAGAAGACAAGAGGCACAAAACTTTCTAACTCAGGTTGCAAGAAGTGGTAAATTGACTGATCAGACCGGCCGGAGCCTCAGATGGCAGCTTCGAACCAGAACCCAGGAAGGGGTAAGTTAACTAATCACACCGTCGAGAGTGTTTACCAACTTCAACCTCAACACGCTGATCCAACTCTGCTGATGCTGAAGGCTGCATCTCCTCCCAACACCAGACGTCGCTGTACCCACTCCAGAATCCAAGGAAATTGCAAGTATTGAACTTTCTCGCTACTAAACCGGTTCTTCAAAATTACAATTGGCCTTTAAACAAACATTCCAAATATAACAGTTTATCTGCTGCTTTCAGTGAAAGGCTTTTTAAAGTCTCCAGGCCACACTTCTGCTCCACATTTGGTTTCTCACCTTTAGATTCTTGCTCAGCATTCTCATCATTGTTTGTATTTTATGTTTCATGTTTGTTGTTATTTGTTTGTTGTAGTTTGTAATAAATGTTTTGTGCATATACAGTTGTTGCTTGTGTTTTCTATAGCTTCTCTTTCAGTCACTTTACATATCTGATCTTTATAATTACCCTCCCTGAGCCTGGTTCTGTCGGAGGTTTTTTTTTCCCTCGCGGGGGTTTTCGGTTCCTTCCCCCCTGTTGCGGACTGCTTGCGGACTGCTGAAGCTTATAGGGAATCCAGATGTTTTGGATTGTTGGGTGTTTCTGTCTCTGCCTTTGTGAAGCGCTATGAGATGACTTGTTGTTGTAAATATGCGCTATACAAATAAAATTGAATTGAATTGAATTGAATTGAATTTCTTTGTAAATGAATACAATTCTGAAACGAAGGACACATGCAGGAAAATGGTGACCGGAAGATGTACTGTGATCGCAGCGATGGATAATCTGACTATTGTAACTGAGAGGCCAGCGGAGGGGAATGTATCTGTAGCTTTGTGAAGCTTTTAGGTAGCTCGTCAAGGCTGGCGACATTAGCTACTAGCTAAGCCGAGCTGCTGCGGCTGCTGCTGCTTCTTCTTTAAGTGATTTGGCGGTTGGCCACCTACTGTGCACACAAAAACATTGCAGACCCTGTAGGACGGGTCTCTTCCGGGTAAGGCTGTGCGCCGACGCTAACATGGTTGCCTTAGCAACGAGCACAAATTTCCCCCAAACACAAAAATTACCACAATACGATATACTCTTTTACTCTTATTTCATACTACACGTATTATACTTTAACAGCAGCACATTTGTCAGTACTTCAATCCATTTATTTTAGTTTATTAATACAAAAACACAACCTTAGTTGTAAACCCCAAGAAGAACTACATATTTCATGGTGTGTCCAATCACGTTGTATTGTAACACTACTGGAAGTTGTAGTTCTTTCTTCCAAATAGCCGTTTCTCCTAAATGGAGGGTGAAATATAAAACTTTAAGTGCATTTAGGGGTTTAAATTGATGAGGAACATGTTTATTTGAACTGACAAAACAACCTAAACCTCACAGATTCATTAACATGACCGGGACTGACAGATAACAGACAGAAAATGAATGTGTTTCCACCCTGGAGGTCCCCATATAACAACCAGGCTGTATCGGTCATGTTTTAAAGCTTGCCAAGTGTGGCACATTCAAATGAAGAGGCCATTTGGTACTGCAGTGACTGAATTTGATGCAGTCTTGTGCTTTATTTCTGTTGCACTACATTTGCTGGAGTACAGAATTTTCAGAACCAGTGTTTAGTGGCTCGTCACTGTGAATAGGACTGTTATTTACCTTAATAGTTCACAGTTTTGTTCAATCAAATATTTTCAGATCTCACTCTGGCCTGTTGAGGAGGAGACGGGAACTTATTGTATTTCACAGTTTTCCCCTGTGTCTCTGATCACAAAAAACCCAAGCTTGTCTATATTGAGCTTACAATTGCTTATCCAGGCTGAGTTTTGGGATGTTTTTCATGTGGAAATATGAAAATATATTCAAGGACTAGGTCAGCCAACTGAAAACAGGTCCCATCAGTTGTTGTATGTATGTTGTTATAATTACAGTGTCAATTAAAAAAAAAAAATCCATCCTCCTTGTAAGTTTTGCCCTTTTATCACTTTCCAGCATGGAATCATGGGCAATTTAATTTGACTTCACAAGATTATACAGAAACAGTCTTGTCAAAGTGAAAAAAAAAATTCTAAAAGTGATGTCAATTAGCTAAAAACATAAATTGTAAAAGTGAACATGTTTGCTTGTGATTGGAAGCAACATAGGGTTCAGTTTCTTACCCAAGGACACATATGTTTTTTAGTGCAGAGTTTATTTGGTTTGTTTTTCATATGAGTGTCTGCTACCTGTGCACAGTCCAGCTTGGTGGGCAGGACCATTTTCTTTGACACTCTTCACAAAGATGGTGTCCATTGGCTCCAAGCGAGACCACTGACAACCTGTTGAAACACATATAGAAGCACATGTACATATATAAGCCAAGATTAGAAAATGTCTCCTTGGATGAAAATAGCAGTGAAGCCCACAAAGTTGTATCAGCTCCATCCCACACACCTATCCTGTACATTATAAAACAGAACACGACAAGACAATGTGTTGCTGATTGAGCAGAAACATTAAACATTCACCTTTTCCCGTTGTGTTTCCATTCTCTTCATCCTGCAGGGGAAACACAGAGCACGTGTTAGAGGTGACCACAGGTGGGCGCTGCTCAGCTCACATTGTCAGTCCAGTCTGCCTGGCTCCAGCTGACTCTACTGCATGACTGGGTTTCAATTTGTCAGAGTGTCTCATATAGTGTCTTACTGACTGACATACTGACTCCCTGTCAGTCTGACTGCCTGTCTCACTGTCGGTCAATGGGTCTATGTGGACGCTTTGGTCTTTGCTGAGTTAGCTCATTCCTAACCTGGACACACAAAGGGCAGTGCATGTAGGCTAAGCTCTGCTGCTCTGCTACACAACATGGACATCACTCCAGGCCTGAGACATGCTACCATGCTGTCTACAGTGGTGTGGGTAGCTGTGGGGTCTGTATCACCGTAGAAAAATGGTCAACGGCTTGTAGCTTAAATGCAACATCTTGAAAGTACACAATCAACCATGTCTGATGTTTGCAGAATTTGGTTCTCCTGAACAGCTTTTTGGCAAAGCAACATGGAAATAATGCAGTATGCGCATACCAAAACTCCAAATTAAAAGAACTGAAAAATTAAACGTGCACAGCATTGGTTCAGTATTCTAGGGTACACTCATTTATTTGTTCAATTCGAAAAGAATGAGACAAGAAAATCGATAGCAGCTTTAATTCTGTGTTGAGCAACCTAGCTGGAAAATTAGCTTTGCTTAGCATAAAAAACTGGAAACAGGATTGGAAGCTTTGGAGTGCGGGTAGGTGTATTTGAAATTTTTTTCTAGCCATTAGGGCTGCACAATGCAGGAAAAAGTGACGTTGTGGTAATGTGTTTTTCTGCGTTACATACTGGAAAGACAACAGAAATTTCCATCAAATTACTTTGTGACTTAATTTAGAAAGAATGAATGGTTCGTGAATGATTGGGATGGTTTTGTAGTAGAGCACATCTGCATAGAAAATAAAGATCACAACAAAAAAGGCAGAAAAAAACAAACCATCTGGAGCCTTTCTCATGTGGTGTAACACTGACAAAGGCTTGGAATGGCATTCAGATCTGATGGCAGATCTAGTGGCAACAATTGCAAGACACTGCTGACAGAGTTCCTGCGTTTACTTATGTATATTTACATTTAGATGTTATCATTTATGAAATCGACTCAGATTGATAGCTAAATGGCACAATATCACTACAACAGGGAAGGGGCTCTGTTGGAGCAGGAATGTGATAGGGATATATTGTGTTTATTTAGCTGCGTCTATGATTCTTTGAATTCTGTACACCTTTGAACAGCTAGAAAAAAGAACTTGAACGTAAAAAAGGGTCAAATTTCAAACATTTAGAGGCCCCTGGTCAAAGTGCTTCCCTCAAGAACAGCCTGTTACCTTGACGCTGTGGAGAGAGGACTCTGGTGGGTAAACGATGAAGTGGCGCAGAGTGAAGCCAAATCCCTGTGAGTTTTTCTGGAGAAAAATGGTTCGTGGGCCCTGCCACGACATACCCTCCACTTCACCTGACGACAGCGGCCGGCGCCTGTTTTCATTGGACAACACCATGCCATCTCTCCGCCCTTTAGCCTGTGGAGCAGAGAGGATGAAGCAAATTGTTAGTACAAGTCACACTTAGCTTTCCTGTTACCTCTTGGTGGGAAATGGACACTGGCAAAACACTACCATGCAAACCTTAAAGTACATTGCAAGTAGCATTGTCAGGGATCTCCACTGGACTGGTGCGGCTGTGTTTTCAGCCACAGTTGAATACATTCAAAGGAAATGTAAGTGGGTGTATGCTGTCCATTCAATAGGGGCTCTGCCCAGGTCTGACTAGGGCAGAATTCCACTGGAGGAATTTCTTGGAGACTTCCTCTTTCCAAAGAGGAAGCTCTATTTTCACCAACAGCCTCACCTATAATCACATCTATTTCATCCAGCTAACAATAGAAGAGTTAAAAATATATGTCTATAAAAAACTGTCATGGAACAACAGGAAATTATTAGGGCTTATAAACACAGATCTGGAAAAGCAGATGAACAATAGACAAAGGGGGTACACATATTCACATTCAGTGAAATTTCCACAGGGTTGAGAAGCTGACATTTACACCAGTGTTACAAACACACAGCAGACCCTCCAACACAGCTGAGAAAAACTGAGATGCTAAACCACATACTGGTTAACCTTATTACAGATATTCTGTAGGTTAAACATGCCTCTGGAAACTCGGGTTTATACACAGCATGAACATTAGCTTGGGGCAGTAACACAGTAAAATGAAGAAGCTGATGAGCTGGTGCAAGAGCAGCTTCAGTGTTCTGCTTAAACTAAAGCAAAATTCTGTTAGGCAAAAAAACTCAGTCCATGCATGGACATGATGTAATGAATAAAACCATATGATTATTACATACGACTTCTTTTTAGCTATAACATATTGCAGTTTGCTTCATTCAAAAGTATGAAGTTTAAAAACATGAGAAAGGTTACGTTTTTTTTAATTTCACAGCAGGTTTTGATGTGTCACCACAGGAAAACCACGTGTATCGAACAACATTGATGATGGTTGCATTCCATTGAAGTTTCTCTTATTACAAAGTGTGCTGTAGGCCCATGACACAATTTTAAATGTGACAGTAGAAAAGATGTAAAGGTCTAGATAAAATGAATACTAAGGGAATTTCATTTAGCTAAATAGAGCCATTGCTACTATCATTATTACATGCAGGTTGTTAGAAAAGCCTATAATAAATGTGTGTTGAAACCAGACGTTTACATACACTATATAAAAAGACATATAACCTTTTTTTCCTCACTGCTTGACATTAAATCAGACTAAATTTTTCTTGCTTTAGGTCAGTTAGGATTACCAAAATTATTTCTATTTGCTAAACGCCAGAATAATGAGAGAGAGAATTTTTTAAAGAATTCTTTATTACTTTCTTCAAAGTCAGAAGTTCACATACATTTCCTTAGTATTTGGTAGCGTTGCCTTTAAACTGTATGACTTGGGTCAAACGCTTCGGGTTTCCTTCCACAAGCTTCTGACAATAGTTTAATGAGTTCTGGCCCATTCCTCCGGACAGAACTGGCAAAACTGAGTCAGAAACTACTAAAACAAAACAAAAACAGAGGACAGTCCTGAAGAAATCTTTATATTTGAATAGGATTTTTTTTTTTTTTAAAAACAAAAAAAAAACAAATACATTTGTATCAGAAAAGTTTCAGGACTGGTGTTACAAAAAATCTATTTCAAAGCCAAACTACAAACTACGAGTTTTCCCCTTCAGATGATCAACCAGCCCGTCTACAAAGAGATCCTGCAGCATTTGCTTCATTCAGTGAGAAGAGGTGAGAGTTGTGGCAGGACCAGTTGTGGCTGCTTCACCATGACAACACGTCTGTTCACTATGCCCTGAGCATCCCACAGTTCCTGGCTGAGAAGAACATCGCCGTGCTGGACCAACCTCCCTACTCACTCTACGTGGCTCCGTGGGATTGTTTCCTCTTCCCCATGTTCAAGTGGGTCATCAAGGGGACCCGTTTAGAAGACGTGAACGACATCAAGATGGCTGTGACGACGGAGCTGAGGAGGATCCTGGAGGAATCCTTCCAGGAATGCATGGCGGCGTAGCAGAGAAGGCTGGGAAAGTGTGTTAGACTGCAGGGGGATTACTTTGAAGGGGAAAACTTGACGTTTGTAGTTTGGATTTGAAATATATCTTTTGTGACATCAGTCCTGGAACTTTTCTGACACACCTCATATGTTGATGCTGTACCTTCGATTGTTTATTTTTCAGTCACAAAATGTCCTTCCCAAAACATTTCTTAGTTATTAATTTTTATTTTTACAAGTTTAAGAAACCCTTATAAAAATGTCTTTCCAGGCAATACGGATTCTGTAAAGAAAAAACACTGTCTCTTTACCAGCGTGCACAGTAGCACACATGCCACTCTCAGCAACACACACAGAAGCACGCACATCCAACACAAATAAACACTATGAGCCACTCAGCCAGTTACAAAAGCAAAAGGAAGTGTGTTTCTTGAGACAGGATGTGGAAAACAGAGTCCTTTTGAGAGGTGATTTGGTAAAACCTTCACCTCTAAGAATAGTTCCAAGGAGCACCAGGGAGGAGACACACACTTTCCAAAGATGGTGCCAATCAGTTCGGCTTCATTTCTGCATTATTTGTAGGTGCAATAAGGTTTCTACACTCCATAAATCAGCACACATAAAAAAGGAGGCCACCCTTAACTGAAGGAAAATGGATCATAAATTAGAGTATGATTCTCATAAAACATAGTAAATAATCGATTTGGAACTCGGATTTATAACTTTATCTAGCTAGGTTCAAGAGAAACTGAAGTGTGTGAGTGTGAGTGTGCGTGTGTGTGTGTGTGTCTGGTGCACACCAATCACATCTGTTCCTCACACACAACATAAACACATGTCAGGTGAGAACAAGAGTGTGAGCAGGAGGTTTGACGTGTGTGTTTAAGGCCGTTCAAAGCATGCATATGTGACCTGTCTAGAATGATGGTGCCAGTTTGAAAAGATGGTTAGGTTGCACTCAAGACCCTGCATTGTGAGAAGAACAACTACCATCACTTTGGTAGTGTGACAAAGCCAACAAAGGAGCCGCCACCTCACAGCAAACAACCGCATCAGTGCATGTAAACTGACAATTGCTAGGCATTCCTATGATGTTCTGTGCAGACTCAGGAGATGACAAAGTTTACATCAAGCACTTACTCATGGATGCAGAAAGTAAAATGGTACGTGCTCACAGGAAATGTTTCTGAATATAACCGGGCGTTTCCAAACAAGGTGCCATGTTTGTCTGTTTTGAAATCCAGTAGCTGAGAGTCGAGGAACAAAGCATTCAGCCAATCAGGAAGGAGTAGCCTGTGTTGGTTTCCTGTTGGAGAGCAGCTGTCAATCATCTCTCGTGACGTTGCATAGTCCCAAGCATCCAGTGGTGGGAAGCAGCATGGTACAAAAGCACACTGGTGACATACCGTGATGCTGGCTCTAGGTGGAGTCTGGCAAGAGCCAGTCACCACACTGAGCTTCATAAGTGCTCTCCTGGAAACCCAGTTAACCCAGTTAACCCATATAAACCAGAGTAACGTGCTAAGCAATAATATTTGAAGGATTTTACGTCATATACTGTTCAAACTTTTCAAATGAACCCAATTCTACTGTATTATATAACATATATTGTCCTCATCATCAGATCAGTGTGTGTGTGTGTGTGTGTGTGTGTGTGTGTGTGTGTGGCTGCAGGTGTGTTGGAGAACTGTGGTGTGCAAAGACTAAACGCATGAAGTCATCATATGTGAGTGTGCACATGTGTGTGCTAGTTGGTAGACACACTGCTGTGTGAGATTCCTCCTTATCAGACACCTGTACAGGTGACATTTAACAGGAGTGGATGTCAAAGGTGAGATGTTTGACATCTGCCTCTTTTACTCACACACACACTCACTCAGGAGGGAACAGCAGCATGCCAGAGTGTGTTTTATTGAACAGTGTGGTTTCATGTCAGCTCCCTGTGTAACAGCTCTGTGCTCAGCTAGACAACCCAGTGTCTGTGTATGTTAACTTGTCTTTACTATTTTAGTGAATTCATAGTGTAGTATGTGATGCACATTTAATGCGATTTAAACAAATAGGACAACATGGACAAACCAAAAGAGATGCAAGATGGTTTCTGCAAGTGAATCTGAATTCTGTAACGCCTTCTACATTCAGCTGGGTAAGTAATAAATAAAGTAATAAGAACGAGTTGCACTGAGATGAAAACAAGGCCTGCTGTGGCTGTCAGGAGACCTACAGGTGACGTCATGCAGGGTTCATCCATCTTTATATACAGTAAACTTGGATGTATTGCTGGAGACTTGACTAAGTGTAGTGTTGGTGTTTTCTGACCTTTGGCTGGCTGTGGACGGACCACTGTTGCTAGAAAATCATTAAAGTCTAATGTACAATGTCAAGTGATGATTTCATATTCTGAAAGCGGTTTTATATAAATTGGACACGACATACGGTGGCATCAAGGTGGCTATAAGGCATTTGTACTTTACTTCTTTATTGAAATTGGACCTGGTATTCAAATAAGCAACAGTGGATTAGTAGTAACATGTTATTAGTTAGGTTACACTGGAAAAACATACCAGGACTATATGACTACGATTAGGTAACTTTTTTTTTTTTTTTTTTTTTAATATTCTTTGAATTATTGATTTTAGGAAAATGAGAATTAAAACACACAACAAAAAAACTATTATCTTAGATGTCAGAGAAATATAATCTAAGGTAATGCATAACATTGATTGCAGTGAGCATTATTTGCTTACTAATGTTGCATGCATGTGCTATATCATGAGATATATTTGATGTAAAATGTATTTAACAATGTGCTATTTATGGTTTTCACACCAGAAAAAGAACAGTCCTCTTGTGCCTCAGTTATTTTTCTGTTCCAAGACTAATACTTGCCTCTAGACATGAAGAGATGACTGGCCAAACACCCCAGTCTGCTAATACTATATTATCATAGAAAAACCATCATAACAAACC